ATCTGGTGTTCTTTGTTAGTTGGGTTTGACAGAATGTTGGGTTTTCCTTCAGCCTAACTGAAGTGACACTGTCAAGTCAGCTAGGTTCCCAAGATTGCTATAATCTAATGGGGGTAAGTCGTCTGGGTTAGAAACATCTTTGAAAAATGTTTAGATCTTACCGCTGTGGGCAGGAGTTTTAATTTAAAAAAACAAACAAACAAAAAAGACATCTCTCTTGTGGAACAAAACCATGTGTGATCTCCCCCGTAGGCTAGCTCCTAAAAGCTATTGTTGGAATGGACTTTAAAGAGCCAGATCAGTTTCATTTCAGTCCCAGGGGAGGGGATCAGTCATTGTCAAATAGGGCGGGGGGGGGTATTATTTTCAGGCTTTGAAGAAATAGAAGCTATACATATTTTTTTAAATAGTTGCTAAGCATCTCTTACTTTGGGGAGCTGGTGATCTCCAGGTGTTCTGTTGCTGGAAGAAGATTGCATCCTATTTAGTGTAGGGTCTGACACTGTGTACAAGCTCAGCATGGTTTTCCTCAAGCACCAGCAAATTAAAGATGGATCTTAGCGTGCAAGGAGCAGAAGTGTTTGCTGAAGTCTGAGGAGCAGGGGCTCAAGCCTGCCCTTAACTTCAGTGGATGCAGGATCAGACCCTGTGCTGCTTAGCGTGAATAGCAGTGAGACGAGAGTGCAGAGAAGACTCTGCTGTTCTGACTTTTGGAACAGCAATGGAGACCTGGTCTGGCCTTTCTATAGCGACAGCATTCATTTGTCTTTAAACGCTACCCTTCCTAACACCATTTGAATGTTACCCATAAGCCTTTCCACAGATTAAATGTTACAAAATGGATTTTGTTTTGTTACTATTTTCTTGAAAGAGTAAGCACTCTGGCGAAGGATGTAATTTAAAATGCACCATTTATCAATCCTCTCTTGGCTGACACATTTTTGAGTAGTTGATATTGTAAGTACCTTTACATGAAACATGATTTTACAAAAAATCTGTTGGCTTATGAACATCTGAGTAAAATAACTTTGGAATATCCACCTGGGAGAAGCTGCTGATTTTTATCAGATATAACATGCTGAACTGCAGCTGAGGACAAGATCAGATGGCTCATTATATATAGTTTCAGAGGCCTGTCAGTCCATTTTTATATTGAAATGTTTGGGGATTTTTTTCATTCTTTCCCCCGTCGATCAAAGTTGTTAAAGTAACTGACTATACTAACGACATCGTCACTGTATTAGGAGTGAGTAATCTGATTATTTTGAAGGAACAATATTCACTACATTGTTACTTTTCTGAGCCATCCGGCATGAGTGGTGATGCCTTGGTACCCAGTGTGACCACAGAGGCCTGGTGCCACCTACACGAGTGAGTCAAAAGTTCTGGCTATTAAAATAATCTGAAAAATCAAACATACTTTTTACTATATTATTTGTTATCAATATCATTTCTGTTTGTACCGCCGTAGTGCCCTGAGATCCCAGTGAGGAGCAGGGTTCCCCTGTGTTCTTAATCATTTTGAACAAGATCAACTAGTCAGTTTTTTCACTCTCAGGTTCTGATGCGCTACCCTAGTGCTGTAGAAGTTTGAGTTATAAACAATAAAGGAGATGATTTGTTTTAAAGAAAAAGTTGGTTCCATAATTAAAGCGCAATCATGGGAACATTTGTTAGTCATGGTTTGAGAGAGCTGTTCCAAGTGAGGTATGGCGAGCTTAAAAACACAGTGCCGACAAGGCGCTTTAGACTCAGACTCAAAGGTCAGAAAGGACCATCAGGATCATCTAATCTGACCTGCTCTTTCCGAGGTAAACTAGGCAAGGTCAGCCCAAGGCAGGTGTGTAGTGCTGCCATTGCTTAGTTTGCCTTGTGGTAAAACTAAGATGCCTGGTCTTCACTGTGTTCTTACCTTGGCATAGCTCATGCTAGTTACCTGGTGTAAAAAAATTACACCTTTTTAGCAGTGATGCCAAGGCCCTTAGATTGCTTAGAAAGAACCTGGATCCATGACCTAGTTCTATGTAACTGGCATTCACTGAAAGATCTGAGGGCATGACCTTCAAGCCTCATCTATGGGCATATGTTCTAATGCTTGAAGAGCAGAAAGTGCAAGTGGTCAACTACTCTGCTTTAAAAACTTGCTAGGAAAAAAAAAGACACTTGCTCTTTTGAAAAGGCCAGTGTCTATAAACAGCTGGTCTTGGGAAGACATGAATTTATATAATCCCTCATCTCTGTGGGTTTTGCATTGTACAATCAATATTCCAAGCAATTGTTAGTTTCCCAAAGTGCACGGAATGTAATGTAGTAGTAGTGTTATCTATTTAATTAAATCTTGGTTCTGTAATATTATAATTTGAAACACAGTATCTCAAGTGGGGATTATTCTTATCATACCGTATAGGAAATCAGACCATTTAGAGTTGCAGTAAAAGCGATTCTTATCAAATGAAGTGTCTAAATATCACATCACAGGAGAGGAAAGAAAAACACTTGGATGTAGTAGTAGCTTGTATTATTTTGGATGTGATGCTTTAAAGATACTTGCTCTTGTCCAAGCAAGGTGCTTGCTGGGGCCTCCCCTCCCCTTGCTGGGAAGGCCACATGCAGGGGAAAATGTAGGAACGTACAGCAGAGCTGACAACTTGTCTATGGCAGTGACCAGTGCTGAAAGCTTCTATACAGTATCGGGGCATCAGGAAGGAAATACTTCCTGTTCTCCAGCTGCTAATCAGTTTCTGCACGAAGCATGAGAAATGATAGCCCTTGTAATTTCATCCTAGAGTTGTTAGTCTTATTCACAGAAATGTTTATTTATGTGTCTGACTACTCTCCTCCTTGGCTATTCATGGTAACAGCGAAGGGACTCTGTTCCTCAGGTTTACCCATCAGTGTCCCTAGTCAGTTAGCTGTCACTTTCCCCCCCCAGCAGAACAACAGGAAGGGGTGACATTTTACAAGAAAATATCCATAAGTTTGTTTTCCAGGTTTATAGGTTGCATGCTCCTCCCTAGGGGGAGTGGCCTGCATCAGTGTGGAGGTGGGAGGGAGTGTGGCCTGATGGTTATTCAGAGATGAAGACTCTGAAGTTAAATTAAAGCCAAACCTGGCTAATGTTTGGTCATCTATAAGCTTTTCTAAAGCACCCAGAACTGCACCGACTGTCCTCTCTGCTGCCTGCAGCAATCTCTGTGACAAGCAGTGCAACTTGTTTATATGCTGTGCAGCCACTGGTTCCCCCTCTGTGGTTGCTTACAACTACCCCCTCCGCTGGTGAAGGAGGGTGCAGATGCGGGGAGTTAAAGCTGAAAGCATTGTATAACTAAACCTGTCTCCACAACTGCATGCCACACACCCTGCTGCTCCCTGACTCCCCCTCCATGCTTCTCACAAGACATGGTATCACTGTAGTGGGGGCAAGCGTGTGTGTGGGGAATGCCACATAGCTACCTTTCCTAGTCCATAGTCAGGGCTGGCTTTAGGCCAATTCCACCAATTCCCCCGAATCGGGCCCCGCGCCTAAGAGGGCCACGCGCCCAGTGGCAGGGCCGCCCAGAGTGGGGGGCAAGTGGCCGAGAATCCCTTCCCTGGCTAGAGGCGCCTTTTTAATTTTTACTCACCCAGCGGCGCTCTGGGTCTTCAGCGGCACTTTGGTGGCGGGTCCTTCACTCGCTCCGGGTCTTCGGCGGCACTTCGGCGGCGGGTCCTTCAGTGCCGCCGAAGACCCGGAGCGAGTGAAGGACCTGCCGCCGAAGACTCAGAGTGTCGCCCGGTGAGTACAAGCCCCGCATGTTTTTTTACGTGTTTTTTTTTTTTTTTTTTTTTTTTAGTCATCCCTGCCACGGCCCCGTCAAAATTGTTCGAATTGGGCCCCGCACTTCCTAAAGCCGGCCCTGTCCATAGTGCTCTTGTTGCATATGATAAACATGCAGTTGCAACCCTTGTAGAGCACAGCAGAGTAGGGCCCAAGGCCCAGAGTAATCAGAAGTGGAAAAAAATTATTAGGTTATGTTTAGGGCTTCTGGTTTTTAACTTTAACTGAAAAAATTTGCTCTCTGGAGTAGCTCACAATTGTGAGTTCCTACCTCAGGGCAGACTATCAAAAATAGGGCAAAGACCTCAAACTTGGTGGTATGGGCTATAATTAGCTTTTACCAAGCCAGTAACAAATGTGAACTGGATCACTATAACAGTGTTACCATGGAGTCACAGACAGTCCCCTTAGACTCTCCAGTCTGTCTTGCCACCCAGAGACAAACTAGACAGTGATAAATGGTCACTTACACCAAAAAGCACACCATATTCAGGTTACTTTCAGTCGCAAGAGAGCAGTCACTTATCCCAGATCAATTGGTACACTAGATCTTACACCAGAGACAACACCTGTAACCAATTCTGTAATAAACTGTCTAAAGGTTTATTTTATGAATGAGCTCCCAGCCACTCATGAACCATCACTAGAGAGGCTGAAGCCAGTCCCCCTAGTTCCCCAGAATTGTACCATTTTGCACTGGTCAGAAGCCTGACCAGTGTAAGTTCATTATTTAGTTTGCCTCTTCTTCATAGGAAAGTGAAGATGTACCAGCCTTGGTAATCTGAGCTGCGATTTCCCCAGCACGTCCACCAAAACACACAGTTTTAGGTAAAATGTAAAACAGATTTATTAACTACAGAAAGATAGATTTTAAGTGATTATAAGTGATAGGCATAAAGGTCAGAGAAAATAAAAAGCAAACGCATTCAAAATCCTAAACTTTTAGTCTAAGCAAGAGTTGAAACAAACAGCTTTTCTCACCCTGACAGATGGTCCAAGCAGGTTGCAGTTCCTCATTAGAGAGGCTGGGATTACCTTCCAACCTGGGACCAAACTTCCCCAGTTCAAAGTCTTTGTCCGCCAGACGTTCTTCCAGGTGTTGAGTTGGGGAGGGGGAGGGAAGAAAGGCCAAGTGATGATGATGATGTCACTGCCTCTCTTTTATGCTTTCTTCCAGCTTGCTGGAAAGATCTTTGCTGTGATGTGGGTTACGTGCTGTACGTGCCTTCTCCGAGAAGTCTCTGGGACAGTGAATTGTGTGTTGATGAGCTATTATTGCTGCCTGGCTATTGATGGCGTCTCCTTTGTTGTAACTGAAAGGCTAGTTGTGTGTGTGCTCAACCTCACAACATATAGCAATACTTCATAACTTCACATATAATGATAGCACACACAATCCAACAGGAGATTAATGTTCAACAGATTAAGACTTTTAAAATGATACCTCCCAAGGCATCCTCGGTATGAAACACATCCTAATCATCTCATAGTAGAGAATATGGGGGCTCCAGGGTGCTACTTTGAGGTACAGAACATCACACCTAGTCACATGGTTCACCCCCCTGCCAGTGCTGAATTGTTCACAACACTAGACTTCCTTTGGCTATGCCCAGGCTAGTTTAAAATGGCTACAGGGATGGGGCTTCCACAATTCCTATGGGAAAGTTTAATCCACAGCTTAACACACTGGGCTTTCAGGAAGCTTTTCCTGACATTCAAATGTTTCTTATTTTTATGTCCCTACTCCTATGTATACCTCTTGTAGAAGCCTAAATAATTATTCTCCTTCCTTGGTGTTTACAGCCTGATGTTCCTCTCTCTTGGCCAAGCTATACAGTATTTTTATTTTGACTCTAATCATTATGGTACTTCACTCCCTCCAGTTCATCGCCATCTTCCTTTCACTGAGGGGCTGTGAACTGAATGCAATATTGCAGGGGTGCTCTCATTGGAGTCCCACAGGCAGGGTCTCTCACCTTCCTGCTCCCTGGGATGCCTGTGTCTGAAGCTCAACATTGCGCTGTTTTTTTGTGCTGGCAAATCACACTGCAAATTCCTCTCTCATTTGCTGTGCATTATCATCCATAGCCCTGACCTGGGCTGCATCCATCTGCTAGACTACTACACATGTAGCACATAAGGCACAAGGAAGCTAGACAGCTGGCTGGGTGTCTTCACATTGAATAGTTGGGTTAGACTGTCCAAAAAGAAAGGCCTGTAAGCGACAGATACCTGAAAAGGCCCTCTAGCTGTGATGAAGGGGAGATATCAAATAGCTCTAATAATAATAATTCTGCTTGTTTCAATAACACCATTTCCTAGGCCCCAGCACACGGACTCATACGTAGAAGACAGTCTTTTTATAACAGCAGCGAGGCCCGGAGCATCAAAAGTTTCTGCTCTCTGAGGTACTGCTGGAGGTGATAATGTTTTTGGCACTCCTTTTCCAGCTTCTGTTGGAAATGATCCCGATTTTGGAATGCTCTCCATTTGGCATCTTCACGCTTCCTCTGCTGGGTTTCCTGCTCCTGGATTTCTCGTTCTAAAGTCTCCTGCTGGGATTGCATTCTGCTCCTCAGCATATCCTACAGCAAAGGAAGTGAAGGGATGTTTGAAGTCCTACAACCAGCTCTCAGTCTCAGTCTCATCCAGTGCCTGTTTCTGGTAGAAGCTGGGAATGGGGTAGTTGTGAATTTGCCACAGCCAGCACCTTCTAAACAGTTCTCTACATGGACTCCTGCTGCAGAAGGCTGGCATGCAGCATTTTGAAATAGTCAGAGATATGGAGATCTCGGTCTCTCCTTTCATCAGTTTGCACATGTTAAATGCACATTTCATATTTGTATCTCCAAATAATATCACTATTTTAGACAGTGTGTTGGTGCCAGTGCAGGGGAAGGAAGAGTCCAAGAAAAGCATTAGTGAAATAACCATTACCTGCCTCTTTTTGTCTTGGTCATAGTTCCTCTGTTTGTATTCTGCCTGCAACTCCTCTCTCTGCAAGTGCTGTGCCTTTAAGAACTGCAGCCTTTGACTCTCCTTTCTCTTCTCCTCTTCCTGCAAGGAGGACTCCTTTCTGCTCCTCTCTGCCCTGGCAGTCTGGAGCTTTGCCATGTGCTGGCAGGCCATGTTATTGTACTCCAGCTGCTTCTCCAAGCTTTGCAGTGTCCTCTGAAGAGACCTCTGTCTGTTTCCAAAACAGAATTTCCAGAAAGCTTGTCAGAAACCAAGAGAAACAAAGGGTCATCCGTAGAAGTGTCAATAAATAGGATGTAAACCAGAAGTCCAGACAATTTTTGGACACTGAAGATACAATACCACTTTTTGCAATGTTAAGGAGATTAACCCCAGTCTCCTGACCAAATTCCTGCTCAAATAATTACTACAGATGGTGGGAAAATAGTAAAAAGATGTGAAATTTTGTTGTCTAAAGTTTGCAACCATCGCTAGCTATTAGATTCTGCATCCCTCTGTTCATCTTGCATTTTCAAGCCACCATGTATTTCTTTACTTCTTGTTTTATTGTGCCCAGTTTTGCTATGTACTGTTAGAACAGGGGTGGCTAAACTGCAATTTGTTGCCAAATGCAGCCCACATTTACAGTCTACAATCTAGCCCAAGACCACCTTAATCTTTACTAGAGATGCAGCCTGACTCTGCAGGTCCCAGCATACACTATTCTTTCTTCACCAGCATATGATGAGATCAGATCAAGATGGGGCTTGTCTACACAGGAAAGTCAATTTGAATTAAGGTAGGGTGTGAATTCAAAGTGGAATATCTATTCCTGATTAACTCCCTGTGTAGATGCTGTTATTCCAGAATAAGAGTGCCTTCTTCTGAATTAGCATAATCCACTTCCAAAGTGGATTACGCTAATTTAGGCTACGTCTTCACTACCCGCCGATCCGGCGGGTAGCAATCGGTTTATCGGGGATCGACTTACCGCGTCTCGTGAGGACGCGGTAAAATCGATCCCTGATCGCTCTGCCGTCGACTCCGGAAATCCACCTCGACAAGAGGCGGCAGCGGAGTCGGCGGCAGCGCGGCAGCGGTCGGCTTTCCCCCGTCCTCACCACCAGGTAAGCCGACCTAAAATACGCAACTTCAGCTACGGTATTCACGTAGCTGAAGTTGCGTATCTTAGGTCGGAACCCCGCTGTAGTGTAGACCTAGCCTTAGAAGAAGGCACTCTTATTCCAGAATGAGAGCATCCACACAGGGAGTTAATTAGGAATAACTCCTCGTGTAGGCAAGCCCAAAGATGAGGACAACTGTGATCCCACTCTATTGCATGCAATTAGGTGTTGCCCTCACAGGCAAGTTACCAATGCAGATTCCTCAGCGAGGCATAATTTTGACTCCTCTGCCTCATAACAAAATATACCAGTAAGAATGTTTTCATACTAAGGGTATGTCTACACTACGAGGGTAATTCGATTTTACTTAAATCGAATATGTGGAATCGATATTGCAAAGTCGAACGTGTGTGTCCACACTAAGGACACACTAAGGACAGTAATTCGACTTTGTGAGTCCACACTAACGGGGCGAGCGTCGATATTGGAAGCGGTGCACTGTGGGCAGCTATCCCACAGTTCCCGCAGTCCCCGCTGCCCATCGGAATTCTGGGTCGAGCCGCCAATGCCTTCTGGGTAAAAAAAATTTGTCGTCATCCGTCCGTCACTAACGCCCTCCCTCCCTCCATGAAAGCGCCGGCGGGAAATCAGTTCGCGCACTTTTCTGGTCAGTGACAGCGCGGACGCCACAGCACTGCGAGCATGGATCACGCTGCGACCATCGCTGCACTTGTGGCCGTTCTCAACACCTCGCAGCTTATCATACACCTTTCCCTGAGGCAGATGCAGAGAAATCGGGCGAGGAGGCTACGGCACCGCCGTGAGAGCCTGAAGTCGGAGAGTGGCACAGAGCTGTCAGAAACCACGAGCCCCAGCGCCCAGGACATCACGGTGGCAATGGGGCATGTGGATTTTGTTGAACGGCGATTCTGGGCCCGGGAAACAA